CAAGCAAATCAAAGGTACACGTTTTGGTATAAAAAGAATTGCATGGAATTTGATTTGTCCTTCAACCTTCAACCAAGAAATGTTTAACAGCTAAATGATTCTCCTAATCATTATAAGTGATTTATAGAAAACAGCATATATATTCTTCATTTTTAATATTATCAGGATTATGAGTTCAAATTGGTTTGGTTTTGTTAAACTCTTCAGTTTCTTTAGATAACTCTTTCTTTTTTTTCTCTTCACCTTCATCCTCTTCAGTTTCTTTTTTAACAACTTCTTTTTCAACAACAAGTTGAATGGATAACTAATGAACTCAGAATGTTTCTTAACAATTTTTTATGTTTTTTTTTCCTTCAATATATTCAAGTTAATCTTTAAGAAAGAGTTTGATTCTGATTCATGTCTAAGAGGTGGATTGGTTGTATCACATGTAATGGTGAATGAACCACCAGCAGCAGATCCCCAAATATATTGTTCGTTATAATTATGTTTGGTGATGACCTGAACTCAATCAGCAACCAAATAAACAGAGTAGAAACCCATCAATCATAGATATATCAGCTCCAGATTGAGGAGCCTCCATGAATGTTTTAGTACCTGATCAAGCAATTGCACCAAGGTTATTTACAAGATCTGTCTAAATAATGATGACTATAATAAATAACTTTGCAAAGACATCTACAAAAAATTTTTTAATTGTTTTGAAATATATCCTTTATAATACCAATATCAGTATCTCTAATAGTAAGTTTTCTTTGTCAGGAATTATGTTTATATAAAGGTCACGTTCAGTGTCCAATTTTAGAGGATCTGTGATGAATTTTATCCAAAGCATCAAATGAATTGGTTAATACAAATATTATCTTTCTTAAATATATATTTTTTTGCAACATTAATGACAGAAAGATGTTTTTACTTTTTATTTGAATAAAAAGTATTTATACATAAGCTGAGAAATCTCGGCTTGAAATGCAAATTATTCAACTTCAGCCATTTTTTTATAATATTATTACAAGAAAATTTTTATTTGTGGTTAATATTTAAGCAGTTTATTCGTATTTATTTTAGCAATTACAAATTGCTGAATTGCAAAGATCAATTCAAAATATGCGATTTTGAATTGCTGTGAAACCATTGACACTAATACGTGTATTTTTTTCGCGTATAATATATTTTGGAATTTAATTTATATATCCAAAGAAAAAAACAATGTTTAAACCTGAGAAAAAAAATATTATTATTAAAGAACAAGAAAGTGATGGAGCAGTTAAAAGACACAAAATTTGGTATCCACGCTGTTTAAACTTTTATAATTATTTGCCAGATGAAGAAATTACACTTGAGGAATTTAATTTGTTTGCATTAGATAGATTGCAAGGTATTTTATTTGATTTTCTAACAAAATTCAATATTATATTACAAAATTACATGATAAATATGTACACATATAGTGTTGAAGGCAATTGAGGGAGCAAATTTACGTGATAAAACTGATGAACAAACTATAAAACTTGTTGAAGAAGTTTCTAAACTACATCTTCCCTTGCATTCAAATGATTCATCAAAAAGCTATCCAGTTCAAGATGAAAGGAGAAAAGATCACTTATCACATTTTATTTTAAGATTGGCACATTGTAGAACGTATAATCTATTATTATTATTACTATTATTTTTATTTTTCTAATCAATAAATATAATGAATTAAAATTATTTTTTAGTGCAGATTTAAGACATTGGTTTTTAAAATATGAAACTGAATTATTTAGGTAATATTAATTAATTAGATAAATTTTGTCATTAATAATCTATTTTTTATTTTTTATATAATATTCAAAAAATATTACATATAATAGAATTAAATATCTTAATGAAAAAAAAATAGAAAAATTAGCCTTTTTAAAGGAACATAACTTTGGATTAAAATATGTAAGCTCATTATTAATTAATTGATTGATATAATATAATAATAATAACAATAACAACAATGACAACAACAATAACAATTGTCTTTCTCAATAAGTTAAGTCAAAGTGAAAAAGAAGAACTTAAAAATGAATTGATGAATACATATCCTACTGTTGATTTTAATAAAGAGGAATTTTTTCAAGTAAGATATTCACACATTCATATATTTTTTTTAAAAATACATATTTTTTAAAGATAATATTTACAATGACTTTTTTATTATAATCTTTTTCATCAGACAGATTTTAGAAAAGTATTGGATCTTGTTACAAGACGTACAGTTTATTTAAAATATGGTATGGCTTATGCTCCATCATGTGAGCAAAGTGGACTTGTGGTTTCCGAGTTTCGCAAACATCTTGGTGCAGCTTTAGAAGTAAACATTGATATTATAATATATATATATATTATATATAATATAGACTAACTATAATTGTATTTTTTATATTTTAGCAAACAAGTAGAGCTTTTATTAATTTAGAAGATGAGAGGATTTTGCCTTTATTAAATAAATTAAATGAACAATATATTGGCAATTCATATACTGGTATGAATGTTGTCACTGGAAAAATAACAGCTAATGATGTGAATCAGGTGAATAAAAAAATTGGGTTTTTTTTCAAAATTCAATTTTTTAAAATAATAAATCCCTTATATATTTAGGTGGTGGGTCATTTTCCTTTATGCATGCAATATTTATATAAAAAACTTTGTGAGGACAAGCATTTGAAGCATAATGGAAGAAGACAATTAAATTTATTTCTTAAGGTTAATAATTTATTCATTTATCTTTTGTAAACCAAACAAAAATATTTATTTTATCATTTATCATTTTAAAAAAATATTAGGGAATTGGATTACCTGTTGAAGAATCACTTAATTTTTGGAAAAAATCATTTTCAAAATTCACAGCTGATAAATTTCAAAAAGAATATTCATATAATATTAGACATGATTATGGCTTAGAAGGAAGTCGTCGTGACTATGCACCATATAGGTAAAATTAAATTATTTTTGTTTTATTTTAATAATCTATCATTCACTTAAACATTATCATCATTGTTGTTATTTGTAAAGTTGTATGTCTATAGTTAGGAACAATGTGCCTGGACCTAATGAACATCATGGTTGTCCCTTTCGACATTTCTATGAATCTAATTTGAAAGCAACATTGATAGAAAATGGAATAAGAGATGAAAACAACCTGAAAAAAATCATGGAATTAGCAAAAGATAGGCATTATAATATAGCCTGTACCAAATATTTTGAAGTTATTAAAGGAACAGGAGGAACCACTGATGATGGAGTTGAAGAGGCAACAAAGGAACCAATTGTTCATCCAAATCAATATTATGAAAAAAGTGTAAATCTCTCTAAAAATAATTCAGATCAATAAATTGACATAAGTTTGTGATTTTGATGATTTTGATTATTATTATTATTGTAAAAGATCTAATTGCCATCATAAACCAAATTTCAATTTTTTATATAAATAAATAAGCATTTGTTCTTTCTGTAAAAGTGTATAACCAGAACTTTATATATCATTTTTAGGTATTTAGTTGATGTGTTATTATCATTTCTGCCAGTCTTTGTCAGATTTGATAACAAACTTTTTCTCTGACAAATGATCAAAAATTATGGAATTTTTGGAAAATGCCTCAAAATGTACATTTTCCTGTGTGTTTCCCATGCATTTTCTGTGCTTAACATCCATAGAAAATGCACAAAAAATGAAGATGAGTATGAGGATGAAACAAGAAAAAGATCTAATACTAAAAATATAATTGATGAAGAATCAGATAAATTACATGATATTGATAATAATGGAGAGTGGGGTGATGACAGTGTTCAGGAAGAAGAAGACGAAATGGGGACAAGAACAAAGAATTTTTGAAAATTTATTTGATAAACCATTGGAGCTAATATGGACAAATTGGAAAAGAAGAAAAAGGGTAAGTATATGAAAGGCAAGACACCAAGGTCCATTTATTATGATAAGTATGGTCCAAGTAGCACTTTTACTAAAGCTGCTCAGGAAGTTCAAAGATTACAAAAAATTTTTTAACTAAACCTAAAGTTTCAAATATAATCAATTTTATTCCTTTGGGTTTTTCACATAATTTGGGATCATGGAAAGTCATCATCAAAGATTGTATCTTGCATTTTAGGTTTTTTTTTCATTTACACCAGGATTTAAATTCATATTGTTTACATTTAAAGCATTATCTGCAACTTTTGCATGACTTGAGGATAAGGCTCCGAATGAATTGAATCAAATCGAATTTGAGAGTGATTCGATTCGATTCTATTCGATCTGTAGTCGATTTGAATTCAAAAAAACAGGATTTGATCCATGACTTGATTTGAATTGATTCGAATCAAACCAGATTCCTAAAAAATTTTTAACATCATATTAAATTTATATTTTTAATTTGATAATTTAAACTTATATTACACAATGAATCTCAATTAGTGTGCCTCCATTTAATGAATACTCTTCTTGATATGATATTTATTCGAATTTTTAACAGATTTCTTGATATTAATAGGGAATTGTTAATCGCACCCCCCATTTTTGTTATTCGCACCCCCACGTGACTAAGTGTAGTAATGTGACCAATGAATGGCTTGACCAAATAAATTGTTTAGCAAATGGCTTGACCAAATAAATCGTTTAGCAAACGGCTTGATCAAATAAATCGATTAGTAAACAGCTTGACCAAATAAATTGTTTAGCAAACGGCTTGACCAAATAAATTGTTTAACAAACGGCTTGATCAAATAAATCGATTAGTAAATGGCTTGACCAAATAAATTGTTTAGCAAATGGCTTGATCAAATAAATCACTTAATAAACGGCTTGACCAAATAAATTGTTTAGCAAACGGCTTGACCAAATAAATCAATTAGTAAACGGCTTGACCAAATAAATCGCACAGCAAATGGCTTGACTGTTTGATTCATTTAAAAACTCGAAGAAATCAACTTTGCATTTTTGTACTTTGCATTTTGTTTCAATAAAAATTCGTAATATGCTTCCACCTCCAATTGACCAATTTTCAAGTTATGATGAACTCCTTGCTCATGTTCGAGCCTTTGTTTTAACTCAAGGATATGCTGTAACCATAAAAAGAACTCGAACTGATGTAAATGGCAAAGTCAAGAATGTGACATTGCGTTGTGACAGAGGTGGCTCTTATAGAAATAGTTTGAACCTGACAGATGATTTACGTCGTAGGCAGACAGCATCAAGATTTTTGGATTGTCCATTTGAGCTCCATGGGACCAGACGCAATGGTGTTTGGTTTCTTGAGGTTCGCAATTCTGAGCATAATCACGAAGCATCAGAGGATATGTCTGGTCATCCAATCACTCACAGGTTGAACACTGAGCAACGAGAGCTAGTTCAGCAAATGTCTGCCGCTGGATCCCATCCTTGTGAAATTTTGTCAACCATTCATCAGAGTGATCTTTCTTCTATGGCCACATCTAGAACAATCTACAATACTTTGCATTCCATTCGTGAAGAAAGACTTGATGGTCGTACACCAATTCAAGCTCTTTTTGACAAATTACAAGAATCTGACTTCGAATTTGATTATCAACGTGACCATCAAAATCACATCACACACCTTTTTTTTGCACACAGGATATCCATTGCCTTGACTCGTACCTATCCTGTTGTATTACTTTCTGGATTGTACATACAAAACAAACAGATATCGTATGCCTCTTCTAAATGTTGTTGGAATGACAAGCTTTAACACAACATTCTTTTCCTGCTTTGCCTTCCTAAAGATGAAAAAGAAGCAGATTATGAATGCGCCTTGACTTGCATTTCAAAGATCTTTAATGGAATGTCTCATCCTAAAGTCATTGTCACTGATCGAGAATTAGCACTGATGAATGCCATTGGTAGAATCTTTCCTGGTGCTCATCATCTTCTATGTATTTGGCACATAAACAAGAACATTTTAGCTAAATGTAAACGTCACTTTGCTACAGAAGAAGATTGGACCAAGTTCATTGAATTGTGGAAGGCAGTTACAGCATCTATCACTGAACAAGACTTCACAACCAAATGGAAGGAATTTTTAGAATGCTATGCGAGTAAGCCCAACATCCTGCAGTATCTTCAAGAAACCTGGATCCTACATAAAGAATGCTTCATTTCTGCCTGGGTTGATCGTTACTTGCATCTTGGTAACAAAGCAACTTCACGAGTAGAAGGTGCACATGCTACTCTTAAAAAGTATTTGCAGTCATCCAGAGGTGATCTTGAGTCAGTACATCGTAAGATCATATTGCAAGTAGAGTCTCAAGCAAAGGAAATCCATGCAATGATCTCTTCTGAATGTCTAAAAGTACAACATGTGTACCGTATAGCTCTGTTTGAACCTCTCTTGAGTCGTGTATCTGTTTTTGCCTTGAAAAAGATCTGTGACAAGTGGATCAAGGCATCAAATGCAACACTAGATTCTCCCTTGAATCCTTGCTCAGGGATCCTTAGCTCCACGATGGGTCTTCCATGTTCACATCTCATCAGTGAACATATAGCAAACAGCCAAACATTGCAGCAAACTGATATCCATGAACACTGGTGGATCAAAGGTCGCCATTTTGAATTCTTAGGTGATCTTACACGTCCTGCCAATGGTGACCACGCTAATCTTCAGCTTCTTTTACAATCTTTTGCACAACAATACCAATTCTGGCCACCACACCAACAAGCTGCTGCTCGTACCCAGTTGGAAGAATTGTCTTCTGCTCCTCCTGATGTACTTGGAAACCCTGAAGTTAGTAGGCCACGAGGAAGACCAGTTGGAGCAAGAAACCAAAGCGAAGGATCAATGCAGAGAGATCCATCTGCATTTGAGCTTGTTGAAAGAAGGCCAAGGCAATGTGGTATATGTTGTCAAACTGGTCATAATAGCCGAACATGTCCTACTGTGTAAATAAATTTGTAAAAATAATTTTTTTTTAGTAATGTAATAATAATAATAAATAAAAATGGTTTTTTTGAATTAAAATTTGTGACGTTTTATTGGCTTATCTTTGTTCTTAGTCACGTGGGGGTGCGAATAACAAAAATGGGGGGTGCGATTAACAATTCCCTATTAATATTACTGTATTAATATTAATATTAATGGTTGTACAAATCATTAAATCTAAAATAATAAGTACTAATATTACTGATGCTTCTTCAACTTAAACAAGAGATGCAATTATCGCTCCAGGTAAAAATTTTTTTTGAATTTTACAATATTTATACTATATAAATAAATATTAAATAAAAAATATTTTTATAAATAAAATTATAAAATATACATTAAAATAAAGATTTTTCATTTATTATATATAGTGTATTTGATCCAAACCATGGATTCAAATCAGTTCAAATCAAATCAAATCAAATCAAATCAAATTCAAATCCATTCGAATCAAATTATATATTCAAATCTGTTTGAATTGAATTGAATCAATCCGAATTCGAATCCGTTTGAATCAAATTATATGTTTTGAAAACCTAAGTTACAAATTAATTTGATATAATGATTATTACATCAAGGTAAATAACTTGATTTGTAAAATGCAACCTACAAGAGCAAAGAAAGATGCGACTCTAAATTAATACAAAAGAGTTGTAAATTGCATACAAAAATGCACCAATAATGATCTTGAAACATGTATATAATGGTGTTCTTGGCCCAGCCTTGGATTCCATGAATCACTCTGGACATTTTTTATCTTGTATTTTTTCAATATAATTAATATATATATTTTTATTAAAATAAAAAATAAACAACTTTTTTATTACTATTTAATCCTTCCTTGAACATGAATGTTTATTGATAATCTCAATACATTTGATACTATCATTGACATGATAAACAATTGCATCACCAAGGTAATGAATGATACCAAGGCCATGCAGGAATAAACATTTTTAAGGAACCTGATTTCAAAAAAATATGTAGATTTACTCAGGCCTCCGAGATCAATAATAAATGAATAAACAATGAATTTAATGCTTCCTTGACTGAATGATCAAAAAGACATTTTTCTTTTCCATATATAGTTCTTTATGAATATAATAATAAATCTGACATTGATCACAGGTGTCAGATTTAATATAAATTTTCCTAGCACAAACATGCAGGGTTGTGCAATTAAGCACAATTCAGCACCATGGAATTTTTTCCACAGGTGAAAGCCAACCTGAACATGTTGAAGACTTTTATAAGGTTGGCAAAATTTCCCTAATCTTCCCTTGGACCAGACTTGGCTGTTATCATAAGAGCATTGATTACTGATGAGGGTCAAGTCAGTGCTCACATTATGATTGCTGTTTGTTATCTATCTCCCTCTAGAATAAAAGTTAGTGTATGCAACTGTATGAAATTTTGCAACTGAGGAAGTTGTAACCTGGATTGCTGTTTCAGGTTGCTGTCTTGTTGGTGGCATTACCTACTCACCAACAACTCTATCCCCATTTAAATAACAAATTCAGTTGGTCAAATAAAAATTAAAGAAACAGAAAATTTATGAAAATGATTAACTTATATTGCAAGCATGCAAACCGAGTTTCCTATTTAATAGGTTATTTATAGCTCAATACACAGCCTCCTCGCTGACTTACAGTTGATTCTATTGTTTGACACACAGCCTACTCACTGACTTACGGTCAAAAATTAATAAAAATATAACTCTTATCTTTTCAGATAAAAGGGTCCCTAGGTTCTATATATGTAATTATATCCCAAAGGCGTCCCCTTGAGATGTCTCTTGATAGTTAAGATACTGGTTAACTGCTATGGGCAGCAAAGGTTTATTAATTAATTAGAGATTATTATTTAGGGTAAAATATGTTATGTGTTTTATTAGCGATAATAATATTATTATTACAGTGTATTAGGAAATATTAATTATTAGATCAATAATTAAAAGATTGTTATGAACATGATGATTCTGACTTGGTCTAAAACCAAGTCCTTTTATACCTCTTGGGGTATTACAAATAACATGACTTTTACTCTAGTTTGTCCAATAAACTATGCTTATTAATATAAAATAAATATTTGGGTCAACTGATCATTACAAATAATAATTAATAATTTAAAGTAAATATTTACATCAGCTGAACAAGTTCTTGAAATGTAAATATAGAAATATGAATATGAGTAATTGTGCATGTGATACTGCGCAATGTGTGGCACAGTATTTCACAAAATATAACGTTAAAAATAAAAAATAAAAATGATTTGATTTTCACGTGACTTCCGCAGTAATTTGGTTTGGTTGGGTCGGCAACGTGGGACCTCTCTATCGGTCCTCATTTTACTATCTCACAATATGTTAGTTCCCCGTGATCTATAATTTACTATATATATATTTTACAATGCACATGTTGAAAGAATATTTTCGCAAACAAATCTCATAAAAAACAAATTGGGAAACAAAATGCATGTAGATACATTAGATAGTATTTAATGATTTTAAAAAATTTTATTAAAATAATTAATAAATAAAAAATTTTTTTGGTGATTAACAAAATATGTGCATTTTTTATCTAACACAAACCCGCACTCAATTTCCTACACTGTTAATTAGTACATTCATTATATCGAAAAAATTTACTATATAAAAATGTAGCCCAGTTCTGAGCCTCAATCTGTTAAATTGAGATTTTTATTAGACATCCAGTAAACCAAAATCTGCTAAATCAAAATTCACTGTGTGTATTTATTTGATACTATTAAAAATGTTTATATTCTTTTTCTTCAAGATACAATCATAAATGTGAAATTAAAAAGTTAATTGACACTAGAAAGTGATGATATGAGTGAGAATATAGCTTCATTATTAGTTAATCCATTCACAAGGGTGAGCAACTCTAGAAGTTTAAAATGTCAATTTTTGCTTTATTCTCATTAATTATTAATTTTTGTTTCTTATGTTCTTGCCTACAGCTCCCCATTGGAACAGTATATGTGCATATTATCTAAATTATTGATTTTTTGATATCTCTTCCTTAAAGCAAGGTTCCACATGAGCCAGCTCACAAGTCAAGTAACTTACTAAGCTCACAAGCTGAATAAGTTATCTGGCTCACAAGTCAGCTTGTGAGAAGCTTTACTATTATGTGACCACTTAAGCCCAGTTCCATTTGAATTACTTCCATCTGATGAAAATAACAACAATCATGAAATTGATAATAGCAAAGATGATAATAATAATAATAATAAATATGATGAAATTGATAACAGCAAATGTGATGATAATAATAATGACGTGGAAGGTCTCCCTTTGTTTGAAGAACAGAAAGCCTTTTTTCTCAGAATGAACAATAAATGGATTTTACCAACCTGGTATAATAGACTTGTTTGTAAATATGAAAGCTTGGTTTTACAATGAAGGAACTTGTTATATTTGTTATGATTTTGGTAATAAAGTAGTTTGTCAGATAAGGGATTCATAGCAAAGTGACTGATAGAATAATCCAAAATAGCAAGGCTTATGAAAATTGTAAGAGAAAATTTAAACAATTACCAAAATGCAACAAATGTGGTAGATTAAAAACTAGAATGGATATTATTCTTATATTTGTGCTTACATTAGGCACAAAGAGAATATAGAAAAAAAGGAACTCCCTGTTTTTACTTCATGAAAGGAAACCAAATGCTTTTTATGAAAGACAAGTAAATGGTCTGAGATCAACTAACTGAGGAAGTGGATACTCATTTAGAAGTCCTAGAGACTGACATAAAAGACAAAAACAAGAGTTATTAGATAGAATAAAGGAATTAGAAGCTGAAGTAGAAAGATTAAAAAAATCAACTCCTCAAGAGTTAATAAAAGGGATTAACAAGCCACAAATTACAACAACAAAATGATCAATCAATTGGTCAAATTGAAGCTAAAAATGACCTTGATTGAAAATAAGAATGTAATTTAGAAAAGATTTTCCTCTATATTCATTCCAACTGCCAAAAAAAATGAAAAAACAGTTGTGCATAATTCACAGCTATGAATAATCAAAATGTTGTTAAACAAATTGGTTAAACTTCAGCCACACCAGCCTCTTATTTATGTCACATGATAAAATGTTTACTTTGGTTGCAGCATACATATGATAACAAAAATCAAAATTACAGTTTATATTATTTTTTTATACATCATCTTTTTAAATTTTTGTTTGTATGGTTATGACTATGATTATTATTAATATATTATTATTTTTAAGAGCAAGAAGGGAATAAACCTTATATTTTTTACCTTATTATTAAGCTGTGAGTCTAACATGAGATTCATCAACAGTGCTATAAAGCAATCCATCTGAACACATTTGTTCAACAGCATTTCTAAATAGTTGTGGAAATATTTAAATATGCATAATAATAATAATTAATATATTAATACATAGTAATAAATATGCTTACACAACAATCATATCAGATCCATGTTTGTTTGATAAAGCATTTGCCATTTGACTAATATTAGTTCCAGCATCATTATTATCATTAGTAACAAAAGCAATTATGTCCTTGTATAATGGATTTTTTAAGTTCTGTGTATTAATTGTAAAATTATTAACTCCTTGACTATAATTTTCTCTCAGGAATGTACGAGTTCCCTGAAATATATATACATATATATTAGTATATACAGAAGATTATTGGAAACTTTATTTCAAATCCAATAGAATATTCCAAGCCCATAAAAAAATAGAAGGATAAATATTTACCACATTTTTTATAAAGTATAAATGATCAAAGACAACATGACCAATATGAGAACTGATCTCATTGAAATCAGTAACAGGTTTTATTTTTACAGCTACCACATATCGTTCCTTGTTAAGAACTTTTAGATTTCCAAATACAGTAACATATGTGTTTTCCCTACAAATATAAATATGTTAATTAATTAGTTGAAATATATGATGTATGTATGTATGTATGTATGCATATAATTTTTATTCTTACTTAATATCATCATTTTTTGCATTTGCTTCATCAGTACTATCCTGCCAAATCTTCACAGAAATCAGTCCAGTACCATCCTCCATTATGTATTCAGTATTAGAAAAACGAGAGGAAACACTAGTAATCACTGCTATAAACGTAATCTGTATCAAAATCATAACATTTTTTTTATTAATAAAATATAAAAATATAAAAAATATGAAAAATCAATAAATAGAATGAAAATGATTTCATACTTACATATCCAATTTCGTGTCCATCTAATTTAATTACACTATTATCATCGCTTACTTCTGCTTGATCTAATTGTTTGATTGTAACATGTCTAAGTGAGTGGGAAGCTTTGTTATATGCCTATATATATATATACATATGCACAAAGAAAACAATTATGAATTAAAAAATAGATTTTATTTATTGTAAAACAATTTATTATATTTATTCTTTTAAAGCTAACTTGTGATGATGTTTCATCAAGCGCGCCATATGATTCATAATCCGAAGGATTAGAGTTTGTGCTACTGCTAGAAATTCTATTGGGGTTATTGGTGGAATTAAACTCTGGAAAACCTAAATAAACACTTGTTATCAAAATATCTCAGACACTTAAAATAATAATATTGTTTTGGCAGTTTTTGAAATCATTACCTGACATTTTTGATTTCTTGAAGGAAACTCGTGTTATTTCTTTTATTTATCTTTTTTATTTTTATGGCACTCCTTTGTTACACGACTAGGACTGATCAGAAGATTCTCAAACAGGTTATTTTTCCTAAATTATTAAGTAGGTCGGACATTGATCTTTTTTTAAACATTTCGGAAGCTATTTTATTTTAGTAATAAAGTTGATTCATGTTGATTTTTTTATACGAAAAAGAAAATCTATATATTATCTAAGAATAAAAAGATATGAATTTATACCATTAATGGTATTATTGGAAGAAAAATAGATTTTGCTTTTTAACAATGATATTACAAAAGAAATCACAAAGAATAATCAACAATGAAGGCAAACTTTTTTTTTATTTGGCAAAAAAAAACTCTATAGCCTAAAAGTTTTGATATATTTGCTATAATTTCCCTTGGTTTCATGTTTGTATCTCTTTAGTTGAAGGTTCTGATAGAATTTTTATTTTATATAGTTTTTATATATATATTTTTATTTATTTAAAAAAAAAGTTCGTTATCGATTGACATTATGTTACATCACTTAATTTTGATTTAATTACATAAATTTTTATTTCACATACGGCAATACTAATTAATTCTTGTCATTAGCATTTCAAAAGTAAAACTTTTTGGATAATTCACACACAGAAATAAATGTAATTATCAAGGCGTTAATAAAGTGTACTGATTTAAAATCAAAATGGTTAGTAATTCTGCATATGGTTGATTTTACTTTGAATATTGTATCACTCTTACTGAATATATTCATCCCCCAACCAGTAAAGGTACCAACTACAAAAATGGATGAAGACGTGATGTAAGGTTTTTTATCAAAATATGGTATGGATATTTCAGAATGGGAGTTTGCAACATAATTCCAAGCCTGTCAAAGTCATTGTGATCATTGTAGATCGGCTAGATAAGTCAAACCATACTTAATCAACTGTTAAGTCTTAAATTGTCTGGTAAACAAGCTGATAAAATTAATGCTCCTTGTATACAAATTACTGGCACTAATGGTGAAGATCTAATTGAAGGTTTTTATGTAGTATTCCAGGACACAAATCTGACGTCAGTAGGTCACAATATATATATATATTGTGACTACTTACATTAGACTGTTACCTACCTATGTGGCCTAATCCGCTTTTTTGGCCACGTGCGAACTATCATCAGGATAACGACATGGTCAATTTTCATCATCAGGCTACATGCAAACTATTGGACACACTTGAGTGTGGCTCATTCCAAATTTTTGGCCACATAGATGGGATAGTCTGGGATTTCGAATGTGTCCCATTTTTATTTTTGGCCAAGTTGATTAGGCAGTAAAAAAAATAGCACCATATACGACCCGACAATGCATTCACTTGTATGGCGGCGTCACTCGATTGCGAGTTAATGAGATATAGTTATTTTGCATTTTCAACAACAGTCAAGTGAGGTGAATTTTGCATTTTTGGCCATATTTATGTTGTCATTTGGTGTTAAATCGGGCGTTTAATTGACGGTAAAAATATGTATTCATGCCCGCATTCAGGCTCCAAGATGTAACAAATGTGACTATCGTGAACCATGGTTCACAATCGACTTTATGTAGCATTTCAGGAAAAGCAATATAGAAAGCGGAATGTAACTCGATTTTCTGTGCCGTTTTCGTCCAAGAACAATTGTTTGCAATATGTATTTTGCTTTGTGCATTGCATTCGAATGCAAGGATGAGGCACATAGTGCCGAATTGATATCCCACTTGGTGATTTTTTCTTACTACTTCCTTATATTATTCTACCTTTGCATATCACTTTTTCTATACCCAATCATATCTAATTGTTGTTATCCAAATGTACAATTTTTATAATATATATCTTTCCGTATTGGTTATACTTTTGACTATCACCAATTATGTTTTCACGCCCTGGAACACTTTTTTGCATGGTTGGTATTACCTCTCCATGTCAAAAAATTGAACCATACTTTTGCGTATTACTGGATCGAAAAATTTTACATATCACTTTTTCGTATCTTACTTTTGCCGTATCACCATATAAAAAATAATGATTTATAACTATTAATATATATATATTTGATTTTTTACTAATGCCAATTAATAATTTTTCGTTTGAATATTCTCTCAATGCATCATCTTCAACTATTACATAATAATAGTTGGTGTTGGGAATATTAAATTTGCTTATTAAGACAGTTTAGTATGGTCAACTCCTCCAATAAATAAGGACATACTTTTAGTTTCGGCTTTTCATGACATTTTAATCACTTTGAAAAAAACCAAAAAACTGAAACAATTTAATTAAAGGCAATCTTTTACAATTGAGAATTTCAAGTTTAAATGAATAAATGGTAGCAAATGCTGCATAATAAATAGGATAAATAATATTTGTATAATATATTCAATCCGCATATACTGATTTTATTTACGGATTATATGTTAATTTACGCGTATAAGAACAAACAAATTGGATGAAAATGAATAAAATGACAAATAATACTCTCTAAGCTTAATCTTAGTAGCTGCGACACCAGCGTGGATAGTGCGACTATATTTTAATTTTGAGAATTAAGTTAATTAAGTGAATCCTATATCATGTCTGTACATATCTGGTGTGGATGAATGGATAAGTAGAAGGACAATGGTAAGACACATTTGAAGGTGCTGGTGAAGGTAATGAAATCTGATTTTGTTCGGGTATATTTAAAGAAGAAATTATGATTTGATTATAACAATAAAAACTTTTGTTTTTTTTTTTTGCATTGTCTATTTGTTTGTCTATCTAATATTATTTATCGTTATTTATAATTAATTATTAACAGTTTGTGATAAAACACAAAATAATAATATACAATCAATTAAAAATAACATATCTTATAATTATACAACTACTCCAACAATGCTTTTTGTATCTGGATTAATCACATTTCTCATAAAAAACCTCGCTTACAATTTATTTGTTGTGTCATTTAATATATGGTTTAAAAACAAGAAAAAAATACAGTAGTGAAATAGTGATATATATTATACACGTGGTTGTTAAGTCAGGGAACTCAATCAAAATTAAGCATCTATTATATTTAACACATTAATAACAATACTTAAATAAACAATGAAATAAAATAGATAATCAATCTTACGACATAGTTCACTATAATAATAAGGGTTGATCAAGAAATAAAACTTTTAAATATTAGTTTCATCGAGCTAGTAGACAATTTTCATTTGACCTTAACACTGAAAACCCAATTAGGAACGATTTTTTATTTAAATTTTTCTAGAATTTTATTGTTATTCTACAAAAACAAATAATAATACTTTTAACAATATTTTAAATTCATTCTTCCAATCCAAGGTTGAAACCAATAATGAAAATGTTATATAGAGAACCATTATCATTTGTGTAGATACTAAAAAAGGAAATCAATTTACTACGAAATTTTTTACTTTTTCATCGATTTATTTTGGTGCCACTATAATTAATTGTGAATGTTGTTGATACTAAATTTGGTCTCCATTTGCGTAAATTATTATTATTTTATATCATTACAATGATTATAATCACAAATTCATTCAATAATGACAATTATAACGATAGTGACAATTAATGAATTCATTTTTTTAATCAAAAATATTTAATATATAACGACTATGTAAAATGTCAAGATAAAAATACTTCAAAATACTTTTAATTGTTAAAAAGAGAAAAAAATTAATAAACTATGTCAAACGTAATTAATTATTATTATTTTATTATTAATATTAATATCGTTATCATTGTCATTCATATTATTAAATTTAAACATATTTTAGGTAATACTTACTATTGATAATCCAAAATATCCATTGATTGATGATCCTAATCTGAGTAAGGCAGATAGACAATTTAATATTTACCAATATATTTGGCAAGGTTATTCCTCTTCTATTGATGAATCGGCTTTGGATGGTGCAAAAATTCTTGATGTTGGGTAATTAATAGTTTCTGATCAATAATTAATAAATTAGTAAAGCGCAGAAAAAAATTCTTAATCATTTGATTCGATAATTAGGTCTATGGGAGATCTATGGGCAGCACATATAAAAAAAGAACATCCTTCAGCCGATTTCACGATCCTTAACATACCTGATTTTCCCACTGATCCCTCAACTGCAACATTCGAGGAAGCTAAAGCCGTTCTAAAGGGATTGCCATATAATGAAAATACTTTTGATCTTGTTCATCAAAGACTTAGAGCCAACGATACATTTACTGAACAACAATTAAAAGACAAAGTCATAAACGATTATATTAGGGTCCTTAAACCCGGTGGTTGGATCGAAATCACGGTATTTATTTTAATATCTTTTTATCAAATACATATTAATATATGCTTTTTATATAATGTTTGCTTGTTCATTTTAATTATCAGGATTTTGACCAAGAAATTTTCAATCCTGGAGAAGCTTATAAAAAAATTCAAAAAGCCAGTAAGTTTACTCATTTGTTATAAATATTTTATGTTTTATATATTTATTTTATTTTTCCAATTTACTTATTTATTTATAAATTTGTAAATTTATAGCACATGATGCTCTTATTCAAGGAGGGTTCAATCCTACCTCAAGTTCATTTCTTACCAAATTTATTGAATCACACAAGGATTTGACCAATTTTAAGTTCATAGAACGTAAATATCCGGTTGGTAAATGGGGCGGCGTTCTTGGTAAAGTGGTAAGTTAATATGTTCTTTTCTAATTCTATTTTGTGATCTGGGTAATACTGATCTATTAACATTAACATTATCATCATCACGACTCACGTCTTTTAGATAATTAAGCAATGGGAGGTGATTTACAAAGATTATGCTCCAGTTATGAAGAGTGCATTGAATTGCTCTGATGAAGAATATTCTGATTTGTTAACAAAATTTATCAATGAAGTTGAAGAACATAAATCATATTGGGTAATTTATAAAATTATTGCTCAAAAAAAAAAATAAAAAAATAATCCAATATTTAAGTAAAAGACTTTCTTTTGTATTCTCGTTATATTATTGTTTGTTTATTATTTTAATAAAAAAAGATATTTAAGGTTATAAATTTAAACCTGTGGTTTGGTTTGTTTGATTGATAAAATTATTAACGTTAAATTTTTTAAACGTTAAATTAAGAATTAATGAAAAGTCATGTCTTTGTTCAGTTTATTACAAAAACCTTGTAAATCTTGACCTAAGAAATACAAATAATTGCATAAAAAAATACGAACCTTTCTTATATATATTATGTATATTAGCTTTAGTTTTACAAACATATCATTTTCGTTTTTTAAGAATGGCATGTAAGGGTGCAAACATATTGACGAGTTGTAACCTATTGTTACGACATCTATATGACGTGAAAAGGTTGTAACCCTTGCAGCTAAATTCTGAATGGCCATATGCTGTATTTTGTGCCATATGCCGTATGTGTCATATGTTGTGCCGTATGTTATGCCATGTGCCATATGTTTGTGCCGTATGCAAACGTAAATGCTGCGTGCTGTACGTTGTGCCATATGCCATACGTTATGTCAATATTCTGTACGAAAATAATTAACACAAATTTTAATCACATCATATATAGAAAAAAACAATCTTATTAATTATCTGTATTATTATCATTATTTTCTAAAAAAGTATTTATTAATAATTCAGGATCATAGTCCAAATTATGAGAACTATTTATATTAGTATCATTTTCATTTACTTCATTATTATTATTAAAAAAATTAAAATCAATAATGTCTCCAATTATTAAGGTGTTTCTTGTCTGAATTGAATTATCATTTGAATTAACATTATTTAAATAATCATTTTCTGATTCTAAACTCATTAAAGTACCAACTGATGAATCATTTGCTACATTTCTTAATTTATTGCTAGTTGATGTTTTTTGTTTTTTTATAGGTGAACAAGGAGGTTGGGGAGGAGGACTTTTCATAAAAGATATGTTCATTATTCTCTGCATCAGAAATTACATTGATAATGGTGGTCAAATTTTGTACTTGTTCATTCATTGATAAAATAATGTTCAAATTAATTATCAATATTAATAGATGATGATGATGATATGATGATGATTCTTTTATTATTGGAGAAGTATATATATAATGAAAAAAACATTGAATGATTAATCATCAAAAACAATGTTTTTTATTATCTGAGTCATATAGACTTGGGATATTTTATTCTTAAAAAACCGGTTGATAAATTTTTTGATGTGACATAAGCTAGGGTTACGGCATTCG